GCCTGCGATGTCGTTGTACCATAGGCGTGCTCGATCAACCCATTCGTGTGCTTCTTGTTCCTGTTGGTTTTGGGTCCTCGGCATGTCGAGTAGGTCGTGGATGGTCTGTGTCGGTGCTTCGTCGACCTGCTCGCGTTTAACAGGGTGTTCTGGCATTGGGGGGTGATCGTTGGGGGGGTATATCGGCCTGAGGTTGTGGTAGAAGCAGCCGTCCTTGTTGATGCTGAAGGCCTCGACGTTCTGGTCGGTCAGCTGTCGAGTGTAGCATGGGTCGTAGTTGACGTCGCGACTTTCACTGAGTGATGCCTGCCTGCAGACTGTGGTAGTAAGTGAGGCTCCTGTTTACGCCGGCAAGGGCTTGCCAGCCTGGTGGCAGCATCGCACAGTGATTGAGTTCGGGCCGCAGAGTGTCACCTTGTTTGTACTTTGGCAGAGCGACTGGGTTGCGGAAGTATCGGGTGGTCGGCGTCGTCGTTGTGGTTTGTATTGGGGCTTTGCCTGGGGGTGGTCCCGTCGGCGGTGGCGGCTGGCACGGTGTCGGAGTCACGCTCTGGTTGTATATGAGCTGGAAGATAGTCGGCATAGGTAAAGGGATGGTTTATTGGACCTGTGGTGTTGGCCTTCTTTGTATAAGCTGCAGGTCGGTATGTGCTGGGGTAGTGCGTGCTGGTCGTTGTATTTGTTGTGGTCGGACTTCTGGGAAGGCTGTACTCCAGTTGGGGAAGTAGCGTTGGGTCCAGCTGATGGGCCGAAAACCAGCAGTGCGCAGCGTCTGGAGGTGCTGAAGCAAATGGCGAGAGCGGTGGTTGTCCACGTCCTCGGTGAGGTACTGTCTTGCTTTGTGGGCGTCTTGTTCAGATAGCTCGTCGGCATCGTTGACCTTGATTAGCATAGTGCCGCCCAGCAGTATTTCGGCAGGTCGCTTGTATGCTGGCGGTTCGTAAACAGGTCTCTGTTTTATCTGTGGTAATGCATCTCCATCTGGGGTCTACTCGACCTGGTGAACGATGATATCCCGCTTGTGGGCCTCCGTGTGGTCGTTGATGGTTCCGTCGACGTTTGTTGTGCATGTATCCGAGGTCGTGGTGATGTCCTGTAGCATCTGAGCTGGGTATTCGATGAGGGCGTTGTCGATGATGGCGGGCCACTTGGGGAAGTCGTTGGTAGGTGAGCTCAGTTTTAGTATCGTCGCGTGGTCGATCTCCTTGGTGGGTAATGGTGGCGTTCGAACTGTGCCTGCCCATGCTGATAGGAGTGCGATGACTCGTTGGTGGCACAAGTGTACTGGTACTCGCTGTCCTCTGAGGTCGGTTTCGTCGCAGTGCAGTTCACCGATCGTCTGTGGAGTAATGTGATGGCGGTCGACGGGGAGGATGTAGTTGTCCATGTATGGATGTAGTGCTCCTCCTCCGCGGGTTTCCAGCATATCTCTTGCATATGCGGCCAGTAGTTCAATCTCTGAGGTGGGGCGCAGCGTGCCGAAGATGTCGGTCCTCCTCCTCCTCCTCCTCCTCCTCCTCCTCATCCTCATCCTCATCCTCATCCTCATCCTCATCCCCCCTCTCCTCCTCCTCTCCTCCTCTCCTCCTCCTCCTCCTCCTCCTCCTCCTCCTCCTCCTCCTCCTCCTCCTCCTCCTCCTCCTCCTCCCCCTCCGCCATTAAGGCAGTGCGTTGTTGTTCAAGTCCTTGCTATCACTGCCAATCGGTGCAGTGCAGCTTGGGCGCCTTGTGGCACCTCCAGGGAGCCCGTCCGCCTCTGCCGTCAGTCCCTTTTCCCCGTTGAGGGAGACGGGAACAAAAATACACAGACACCTATGAAGGTCGATTCCGAATAACATACGGAAAATATCGGAAGTGGGGGCGAAGACGAACATCCAGGAAACATGGAAAACATGAGGAATAGTGGGAATTGTGTTTATTAATGTGTGTGATTGTGGGCGGATGTGAATACGAATGTGAATGTGAATGCGAAAGTGAATGTGAATGTGAATGTGAAAGTGTGTGTGTGTATGTGTGTGGGAATGGTTGTGTGTGAATGCGTGTGTGTCCTTAGCCCCTTCAGGAAGGGCCGCGTGGGGTGCTGCAGGGCTGCTGGACAGGCCTGCTAGGTCTCAGCAGCTCAGTGCGGGGGTCGTTCTCGGCGGCCTACAGTCAACCCGCATGGCAAGGACGCGCAACCCTCCCAAGGGTACCCTGGCATCCTTGCCCTTTCGGCCCATCCGTGGCTGCTTTCGCTGGCCAGCCTCGTTCGGAAAACGTCAACACGGGCCTCCAAAGCCCTTGCATCCTTACCGCGCATCCTCATGATACTGGTCGGCTGTACGAGGTGCACCGCCGATGACGCATCGGAGGCGGGCAGACCCGCGGCCCTCGGCCTGCAGCCATCTCAGCCGCAGCGCCCTCCGCCCCGGGCACGTCGCCGCCGTGCCTGGCGGGGTTTCAGGGCGCTGGGTGGCGCCCCGCGTCGTCGTCCCGGGGGTGCCGCTCTGGGGGGAGCCCCCTGTCGGGGGCGGCAAGAGAGGGGGGTGATGACCTGGGGGGGGGGGATATCATGGCGGGGGCCATGATATTTCCCGAGATGTCATGGCGCCTCCTCTTATTCCATTACGTCCCTGGCCCCCCCGCTGGGTCGCGCACATGCCGCCGGTCATGAGTTGCACCCCCCCCTTTTGGACACCCCCCTCTTGGCCGCTCCCGCCCCGTGCGCGGGGTCCCCGAGGTGCAGCGTTGCATGCGCTATTGGGAGTTAGCCAGGAGAAGGAAGCTGGAGGTTGAGTCCCAGCCGGTGCTTGTTACCCCCTTTTGGGCATGTGTGTCGTTTGTTGGCCAGTTTGGCCAGGGCACGTTGGCCCGCGCTCGCTGAGCGCCACGGTTTATGCTTTGCCGTTTGGGCCCGTCCTGGCCGAGATCACGTGCCAGCTCCTTGCGGCGTGCTGCACCATTGTTTTGCGCTAGCGCTGTGCAATTGACAGCACTTTTGGAAAGCGATGTCTGCTTTGGGGCCCTGCTTGGAACCGATGGGAGGCGGGGGGGCGACGCATCAAACGTCGTCCCGCTGGACGCCCGCGAGGCTCAGGAAAGCGGCAGGAGCGGTATGCCGGGCAGGGAATTCGGATTTGGCGATGTCCAGGCTTGGATGCAAGTCTCATAATTGCACGGCCAACGCGCATGGTAAGACTGAGCGGCGCCCCCGAGGGTACCCCTGCATCCTTGGCCTGTTCGGACTCTCCGTGGGCAATCCTTCGCTCGAGGATGTTCAACTTGGGCGTCCGAGGGGCGCGCATCCTTGCCGCGCATCCTTCTGGTACGTGTTGGCTCCTCTCCCCCCCCCTCCTCCTCCTCCTCCTCCTCCTCCTCCTCCTCCTCCTCCTCCCCCCCCTCCTCCTCCCCCTCCTCCTCCCTCCTCCTCCTCCTCTCTCCTCCTCCTCCCCCTCCTCCTCCCCTCCTCCTCCTCCTCCTCCTCCTCCTCCTCCTCTCCTCCTCCCTCCTGGTGCGCGTGTGCTGTGTAGCCTCCTTCCGGCGGGCCCCCCCTCGGGGCGCAGGAGCACGGCACATGTCCGGCGGCACCCGGGGGCACGGGCGAAGGTTCGATCGGGAGCCGCGCGGCGCGTCACGTCCGCGGGGCCTCGCGCGTTGCGCCGGATGTCGGGGGAGGGGGGGAGAAGGGCGAGGCAGGAGGGGAGAGGTCGGAGGAGGGGCGAGGGAGGAGGGAGCGAGGAGGAGGACAGAGTGAGGGGCGAGGGAGGGGGGACGAGGCAGGAGGGGCGAGGAGGGGGGAGCGAGGAGGACGCACCGAACATACATGTTCGGAACTCCGCGCGGGTGTCTTGGATTTGCGCTGAAGACCCCTCCCTGGCACGCGGAGCGCGCGAGGGGCAACGCCAAAGGCGCCGCCAGGAGGCCCCAGCGCCGATCCAAGAAATCCGCGCGGACCTCCAACAGTTTCTATATAAACATATGTTTATATACATATATGGGTGTGTGTATATATATTATGTGGGCCGTTGTTTGTTTCTTTCTGAGCACGCCTACGCCTGGCGGCACCCAAAGACGCGGCGGCATCCCCGTCTGAATCTACACGAAGCGCCACCCTGTTGGACCCCGCTCGGGCGCCAGACAACGGCGACGCGCGCACGCGTAGCAGCACCCAAGGAGGGCGAGATCCTGCTTGGATCTGCGCGAAACGTCGCGCCTCTGAACACCCGAGTGTAGCACGTAGCAGAAAGAGGCGATTTTCGCACGGCTGGCAGGGCCCAGGGAGGGCGAGGGTCCCGTTCAGCTGTGCGTGAACCGTCACGCCACTGGACACGCCATGGGCGCAGCACAGCAGCGACTGCTGCATGCCTGGCAGCACCCAGTTGGTGGCAAGGCCATGTGCGGAGTTGCCACCCCAGCAAGACTTTTTTTTCGAGGGCGCAGGGAAAGGGGCGACCGTTGCACGCCTGGCAGCACGCAGAGCGTGGCGAGGTCCCCTGTACGCAGATGCGCGTGCGCCGTCATGCTGCTGGAACCCCGAGGGCGCTGGAAGAGGCGAGTGTTGCGTGCCTGGCAGCACCTTGGGAGGGGAGAAGTCCCGATGGGGGGACTTGTGTAAGACGTCACCCCGCTGGACCCCTCAGGGGCGCAAGAAAGCAGCAGTAGACGCGTGGCAACACCCAGGGAGGGCGAGGCAGGACAAGGAGAGGCGATGAGGGAAGCAGGACGCGCAGAGGAGGTAGTTGATTAGGAGGCGGCAGAGAAGGAAGGAGCCTCAGTGCACCAGTCAAAACGGTGACCCAGCACAGGAGAGCAAGAAAAAAGACACTGCGTGCGCTTCGCCATGTCGGCCTCCAGGGCGCGGTTGGGGGCCTGTGACATGTAAACATGATTACGTGCGACGGGAACAGACCGGATGATTCTTGGAGGTCTGGCAAGGTCAAGATGGAACGCTGGAGGTGGGAGGGGGGGGGGGGGGGCGCGGCTTGCGGGAAGCGCCATCTCAAGTGCCCGGTGCCCCCAAGCATCCGGCGGATCTTCCACAAGGCCAGGGAGGGCATCGACAGCGTGGAGATGCCGGAGAGCACCCCCTGGGCCTCGCTGGTCCGTTGGGCGTTCGATCGTGGACCCTTTGGTGAATGCAAGCAACCATCTAGTCTTGCGCTCACGCAGGAGACCGCCAGAGATCGCGAAAGACGGAGGAGGACCGCCGATGGTATGAGGCTTCGGGCTGCGCGCAGACAGTCCCCGCCTCCGGCCCCCCGCTGGCCCAGGCTGCCCTCAGCAGGCCCCCCGAGTAACCTGGGGGCGGTCTCAGCGCCTCAGCGGGCCCGCCGGGACTACCTGGGAAAGCTGTCCGCGCGCAGCCCGAAGCCTCACCAACCGCCGAGGGCCCCAGCCGCCGAAGGCCGACGGGCAACAGGGGCTATGATGTCCCAGCTTACTCTGTAGCCTTGACCGCCCGGAGGAATTCCGAGCACCAGGAAAGTACCGAAGCTGGAGGGTCTTCACGTGTCGGGCTCTGGGAGGCGATGCTCGTTCGACGCTTCGCCAGCGCGTCGGGCAGGCCTTGTTGCGACAGTGACCGGTTTTCTTCTGCATGGTTTTGCCGATCGGCGCGGGCCCCGGCACTTCCCCCCTCCCCCACCCCATGGAGTACAGTCGGGGCGCTGAAGAAGAAACTCCCCCTATCCCCCCTCCCCCCTTCCGCCCAGTGTCGAAGCGCCGAATAAGAAAACGCTCACATAGCTGTCTGGGTGCTCGAGATTGTCTCTGGGATGTGGCGCTGAAGTACGATGGGAGCAGCATAAAAAACAAGGGGTCCAGGGTAGAACGCGTCAGGTCAGGGTGAAGTCGGGGGTGTCCCTCTACAGGAGGACTCTTCAAAGCTAGTAGAAAAATTATATAGGGAGGCGATGTGTTGAGTATGTGTTGATTATTTTTGGTTATGTTTTGGCTACCTTTGAGTTGTCCTCCAAAATCCAATCCGCCTGTAGGAGCCCAGACATGCGACGTCCTGATCTTTTCAGGACGGCGTCCCTGGAAGTCCCGACCCGTTCCCCGGGACCGGTTTTTCGTCCTGCGTCGTTTTTTGACGCTCCCGAGGCCCGGCGAGGGCCCCCCGGGGCCGAACATAGCCAAAAACCTCCCGTCCGGATTCTTTCACGACGCGATCATGTCTGGGAAACCCGCCTGTGGGAGGACATGCCCGACCTGAGGTCAGGGGCCTCTGCCAGCCAGACCCCTCCCGGAGGCTGCCGATGCTCCCTGGCGGCCTGCGGCGGCTCCAGTCCCAGGAGCGCGGCCCCCGAGCCGGCCGCGGGGAGGTCCCACGGGAGCGCCCCCCAGGAGCAGACGGCCGGGGCCTCCCCGAGCCAGAGACGCAGGAGGAGGAGGAGGAGGAGCAGGAGGAGGAGGAGGAGGAGGAGGAGGAGGAACGGGAGGAGGAGGAGGAGGAGGAGGAGGAGGGAGGAGGAGATGGAGGAGGAGCAGGAGGAGGAACGGGAGGAGGAGGAAGGAGGAGGAGGCGAGGCGGGGAGGAGGAGGAGGAGGAGGAGGAGGAGGAGGAGGAGGAGGAGGAGGAGGAGGAGGAGGTGCGCGGAAGTCCCACGTGAGGCGTTCCAAACATGGCCTTGCCTTCGAGGATCGAAGGGCCCAGACATGATCGCGTCGTGAAAGAATCCGGACGGGAGGTTTTTGCCTATGTTCGGCACTGGGGGGCCCTCGCCAGGCCTCGGGAGCGTCAAAAAACGACGCAGGACGAAAAACCGGTCCCGGGGAAAGGGTCGGGACTTCCAGGGACGTCGTCCTGAAAAGATCAGGACGTCGCATGTCTGGGGAGCTGTCCTCTCTTCCGCCGCGGAAGGGCTGGCGGAAGTAAATCGAGGCCGCCCCCGCCTGCGGAAGCCGGCGGAAGCTCGGCGGAAGGCGGCGGAAGTAAGAAATGTGCCCCCAAAAAACGGAAACGTTGTTGGGCTCAGCGTTCTCGAAATCGCCCATGTATTGCTTTGTCCACGCGTGTCCCGCGAGAAAAAACTGCATAAACATGCATTTGTTTGGATCTCCGCGCGGATTTCTTGGATCCGCGTTGGGCCCCACTGGCGGCGCCTCCGGCGCCGCCCATGGCGCGCTCCGCGCGCCAGGGAGGGAGGTCCAGCGCAGATCCAAGAATTCCGCGCGGAGCGCCAAAAGTTTGTGTTCATGGTGTTTTTTTGTTTTTAATGTTTGTCCAAACGTGGTCCCGAAGGTCCAGAGGCCTGGCGAGGGCCCCCAGAAGACGAAAACAGAGAAACAACACAAATAATGAG